GCCGCGACTGATCGCAGTTGGCCGCATCCAGGTTGGACCAGCGCCCGGGGCCGGTGCTGGGTTCGAGGCCCGGGGCCGAGGAGCGGCCCGAGCTGACGTGGGGTCGCGGGCTGGGGCGCCGGATCGTGGGGGCCATGGTGTCAGCGGAGAGGATGGCCCACGTGTGGCCGCGCCGCCCTGGTTCCGGGTCACACGGACCCGCCCTGGTGGTCAGAGCCCCCACCCCCCAAGTCACAAAGACCTGCAGGTCACACCCTCCCCCTAGCCACCCTACCCGGCCTGGCCTCTCACCCCCCCACCCCGGGGCTCCCACTGAGATCCCAGGGCATGGGGTCCCCAAGAAGATGCCCCCGCCTCCTGGCCCAGACGCGGGGCGGGGTGGGGGAGGCAGCCTCACAGTCCAGCCCAGGTGGGTAGGCAGGGCTTGGCGGGGAGCGAGGTGACCTGGGCAGCTGCCCGTCCCTCGGAGGAACGGCGAGCGGCCATTGTGTCCCCAGGGTCACTTGTAGGTTGACCCCAAGTCCAGGCCACCCGGACCTTCTCCTCCCTCCCCCACCTCCACAGTCGATCCTTCTTTGTGCCGCTTCTAATCGGCCATCTTGGGGAGGAGGGTGGATCCTGTCTTCACTTATCCTAACTTTCCAAAACCTAGAATTCCGAGTCATTTTTAAAAACCAGAACAGTTGCCATGGAGTCTACCTGGCTTATGGGGACTCATGGTGGTGACCATAGATGTAGCAGAGTAGAGCTGCTCCACGGGGTTTTCAAGGCTTTTTCAGAGTAGATCACCAGGCCTTTCTTCTGAGGTGCCTCTAGGTGGACAGGAACCTCCAATCTTTCCGTTAGCATCCCATGGCATTGCACCACCCAGGGGCTTTGTGTGGTTTAAAATCACCTTTACTTTGCACTGACTCCTGGAAGGGGGTTCTGCTCCCACTTGAAAGTGGCTCCTGCAAGAGCAGGGTGAGGACTTCCGCTCCGGAGGTGCCCTGCAGGTTCCTTTCCTGCCTTCACGCTGGGGGCTGTGCACCCCGTCCTCAGAGCCCACCTCAGAGCCCTGCCAGCTGGGGAAGGGCCCGACCAAGACTTGGCCAAGAAAAGCCCCCGTCACCCCTTTACGGGCTCCGTGAACAAAAGGGCGGCCCTTCCTCTCCATTAGCCCCATCAGAACGTGGGCAAGCGGCTCCCAGAGACCCAACATTAAGGAGACCACCCTCGTTTTCACAGTTAGCCTTTATTCAAGCAGTATTAAAGTATACCAAGCAAAACTGAATTAAAAGAAACAGAGTTACAATGTTTAAAACCACATTTGTCTGGGTTTTTCCAGCTCTCTCTAAAACAAAAAAGCATGAACAAGTATAAGCCCTGCAGGTGCCCAGTTCTGGCTGTAAGACCTGACTCTCGCTGTCCCTGCGACTCCCGTCCCATCCCCAGGTGCTGGGCTAGGGAAGAGGGGACCCACCGGGCGTCTGGCCTCAGGAGCGGCAGGCAGGGAAGGTGGCCCGGCTGGAACTGGGAGGTATGCCGGTGTGCAGGTGTGGGCCCACCTCATCATGGTCCCACTGATTTGGGGACATGGTAAAAGCAGCTCACCCCCTCTCCTTGCTTCTGGAGCTGTTGAGGACAGCAGAGAAGGGCTGGCCTTCTCTCCGAAGCAGGGTGCTGTCAGACCAGGTCAGTCAGGGGCACTGCCAGTGCTTCATCTGCTGCCACTTGATACCTTCCAGGTGTTTTACCTGCATTCCTCCTGCTTGATGGAAAATAGTGACCCGACCTGTCCCGAACAGCGTGATGATGTGCTGGCACACCAGTCATTCTGGAAGCCAGAAACCGGGGAGCAATCCCCGAGTGCCTCCTTGCAGCTTTCCCACCCCTGCCCGTGAGCCATCCTTCTTGTTTCTGGCCGGCCCCCCAGCCCAGCCCTCACTCCAGCTACTGCCGTTTGATCTTAGTAGTCCCATGCTGCAAGACGTCCTCGGGCCTCCTCGCCAGCCCAGGGAACTGGCTATGCACCCCCGCGTAGCAAAGAGCAAGGCTGATATCCTGGGGTCACTGCCGCTGTGTCTCTTGATACAGAAAACAGAGCGAAGTCCTCACGCACAGCCTGGGAGGGAACAGCCGAAGAACCACGTCCCCAGCTTTGGAAGGCATCCCCAGCCCATGCGGAGTTATTGAGGCCTTGTCAACTGGAAGAGGCTAACGGATCTTCTAGAAGAATCCAGGGATTGCTGTAGGGGTACCCAGGGGCAGGGAGATGGCATACAAGCTAAACTCACTCTTGGCCATCATTTTAATCAGAGAAAATGCTGTTCCCAGGCCCAAACTGTCCCTGTGGCCAGGCCGTGGGCAGTGACCCGGGCCGTTCAGGGAGCGCGTGGGGACTCCAGCCCCAAATGAGCGCAGAGACGGAGGGAACCCCGGCCCAGTTGGCCCTGCTGTGAACCTATGAATGAGGCTCAAGACCAACGGCTTGTTACAGGACAGGGGGCTGGGGACACCAAAGGGTCCTACATTGCAGGGGGGGGGTGTGACTTGCATTTTGAGTCACAGAATGGGAGCCGGGTAGAGGCTGGGACCCTGGACACTCAGGGAGCCTGGTGCTTTGGAGCAGAGCAAACATGGCTGGTGGGGGGTACTCAGCCTCCTCCCTCTGGGGTCACTCCTGGGTGGCGAGGCAGGAAATCTAGTCGAGTCAGGGTTTCCAAAGCCTCAGGTTCGTTTGGCATCGAAGGTTGGGAGAAACTGGAGGGCTGGGCGGGGGGCTTGGGCAGACGGGGAAGTTCTGCTTTATTGTGGAATTTAAGACCCCAAACAACTAGGTGGCCTGTGCTCCCCAGGAAAACCCACACAGGGCTGAGCTCGGAGCAAGAGAAGGCAGGGCTCTGGCAGAGGTGCAGGAAGGAAGGGCTAAGGAAGGCAACTCCCCAAAGCGGGGCTGGGGAGCCTGGGTGAGCCTGACGTCCACACCCGGAGATTGGGGGATGCTCCTCATAGGGCTCACCCAGCAGCACCCACACCCCAGGTGGGGTCCCTGGACTGAGGACCGAATAAAGGACAAAGTAGCAGAAATTTGCCTATTTCAAAAATCAGCGGTCATAAGAAATTAAAACTCTGACTCGCAGCCCGGGCCGGCCCTTAAAGGGACGAGGATGGTTAGAAAGCCACGCTCCGGGCCACCGCATGGTCACTGAGCCATCTGCACCACCACGGCCCTCCAGGCCTTGTCCTTGTCAAACTCCTGCCGCGGGCTCCTGGCCACCTGCAGGGACAGTCAGGCGTCACGTCCTCAAGGGCAAAGTCATCATGTACGTTGTTTGACGAGTGACACTGAAATCATTCCACCCACGACACTCTTTCAGGAGTGGATTGCGCTTGCCTACCCAGTTTAAAAAATGTATCACATATTACTTCCTCAAGATTCTTCCAGGGTATGTTTTAAAATAGAAATGGACGAAACCGGAAGAATCTCCTGACAGAGATGTCATTCCCAAGTCAGCCAGTGCCACTTCACCGGGGCCTTCCGAGGGTCCCGGCATGGACCAGGGTTCCCCCAAATGGATGGACAGGGGCAGGGGGTGGCCCCCACTGTCCCCAATCAACTCCCTGCCGGAGGCTCCAGCCAGCAATCTGAGGGTCCCCTCCATGGACCAGGATGTCCCTGAGTGGGCAGATGGGGCAGGGGGTCCCCCCATGGTCCTCACTCTCGTACCCACTGGGGGGCCCCAGCCAGCAACCCAAGGGTCTCCAGTATGGACCAGGGTGTCCCCAAGTGGGCAGACAGAGCAGGGGTCCCCACTCACCTCCCCTGCTGGGGGCTCTGGCGGGCTGGCCTGCGTGGGGCCCCAGGGCACGCCCTGCAGCTGCCCGTGGATCTTGAAGCGCACGCACTGGACGACGGTGCCCGTGGTGAGGCAGGCTTGCAGGAGCAGCACCAGCAGCAGGAGCAGCAGGAGCACATCGTAGGATTGCTAGAGAAGACAGGGTGGTCAGGGGTGGACAGCCAATGCTTCTGCGACCCCATGCACCCGTTCCCGTGGTTGGACGTCTGGCCCCCCCAGGGAGCAGGTGGAGTTTGTTGTCAGGAAGCTCCAGGTGCACACGCTGCTGGGTCCGGGCACCCAGCCACACCCGAGTGTTCAGGAATTGGAACCCCAGTCATCCTCTCAATGAGTGAGAGTTGCAGAAAGTGATCCTGCTATAAGTTCTGATTTTCTGTGTTTAGCAGACCCAGCAGTGACCGGCAAACCCTCAGCCCTGGGGACGTGTCAGCTGCTGAAGTTCATGTCCCTCCAGCAGCCACACAGCCATTGGGAGCAGACCAGCATCCCGGGCCCACAGAGGGGGTACATGGAGGCAGGAGTGACCACACACTCAGGATACATAGCAGGGAACGCACTCGCTGACAGGTAGGGTCAGCCCTGCGGGCGGTGAGCACAGGAAAGAGGGAGGGGCTGGACAGGAGGGGGGCTGGAGAGGAGGGGGCCGGAGAGGACGCGCCAGAGAAGGAAGGGGGAAGAAGGGGACAGAGGAAGCAGGGAAAGCAAGGGTCCCCAAGGGCAGAAGTCACCAAGGGCAGAAGGAGCGAGACTATGCAAACACACCAAAGCACCCAAACCCTCCCCACCCAATATGGGTGGCCTTTCTCTGCAGGCCCAAGAAAATGCAAATTAAATATTAATACAAAAAAGAACCAGGCATCCATTCAATATCACTATCTTTAAATATGAAACAGAATGAATGCCAATTCCTCTGAAGTTAATGTGTAAATTTAATGTGATTCTAACAAAAATAGCACCTGAGCTGTTTCTGGGGCCAGGGATGTCGACCCTAAAACTCACAAACAGGCTAAAAGAACCCGACGAACCCAAAAGGAGTCCCTGGTGGTGCAAATGGTGAATGCTACCAGCTGCTAACCAAAGGGTTAGAGGTTTGAGTCCACCCAGAGGTGCCTCAGAGAAAGGCCTGGTGATTTACTTCTAAAAAATCAGCAGTTGAAAACCCTATGGAGCACAGTTCTTCTCTGACACACATGGGGTCACCATGAGCTGGAGGCGACTCCATGGCAACTGGTCTGGGTAAACCCTGAAAAAGAACAGTGAAGAGGAATCCAGTTCCTAGCCCTGCCAGTTATTGAAACATATGATAAAAACCCCATAACCAAAACAGTGTGGTACCAGCACACAGAGAGATTTGATAGGAGATGCAGAAAGTGCAGAAACAGGAAGAAATTCAGTGCCTGGCAAAGGCAGTGCTTCAGGTGACCGAGCACAGGTGGACTTTGTGGGGAGTGGCAGCTTTTGAACAGCTTACATAGTCACTGGAAAAAAGACAAGGTCGGAGCCACACCTTCCACCATGCCTTGATGCACCGCAGAAATACACAGGACCAGCGCTTCCAATGATGACTTAATATCCAGAAGCAATAAAGGGAAATATTGACAAATGTTGATAAATTTAGCCATATAAGAACAAAAACACCTTTCATGGGAGAAGCAGAATGGAAAACAGATGACAAGCTGAGGGCACTGTTTGGCATCTCTTATTACCGACAACAGGCTTGTTCCCAATGTTTGCAGAGTTCTCAAAATCCCACTGGAAAACAGGCGGAAGACATGAGCAGAGTTTGCTGGGAAAGAAATGCACATGCCCTTAAACATAGTAAAAGATCCTCAGCATCACTGTATTGAGAGAAAGGCAAGTCACAACTACCCCTGATACCCTCTCACCAACAGTACAAAAATCGAAGGGTGGTGGTACCCTCTGGGGTGGGCTGTGGAGAAACACTCTTATGCTATTGGTGGGAGTGAACACTGGACACCCTGCAGGGGAATTTGGCAATAATTAACAAAATTATAGATCCATCTACCCTCTCACCCAGCAATATGTCACCTAGATAATTACCCTAAAGAAGCACCACCCAGTTTCAACATGAAGTATGTACACAAGGCTATTTATTGAGGCATTATTGATAACTGCAGATGACAGGAAATAACCCTGGCTTCAACCATTAGGGAGTGGGTGGGGAAACTCTCACCTTGGAGTATATATGTGCAGGAATAACAACCGAATACGCAAGAGCTTGGATCCGTCTGGGTATGGAGGGAACACCAGAATATATTATTAAGTTAAAAAAAAAAAGCAAGGTACAGAATAGTGACTATAGGGTGTAGAGCCCCACTTTTTTTAAGGAGGGATGTTGGTTGCATATAAGAGGAGGGAAACCAGAGATGGGATAAAACTTCTCTGTGTTTTATATAGTTTTGACTTTTGAACCAAGTATATGTCTTATGTATTAAAAAAAAAAAAACTACTAAAAGGAAGAAATCTTCAAACTCTGAAAATGAATACCAACAGAAATCATTAAACTTAACAGTGCATCAGATCAATGGCGTACCCAACATGAGAAAGGAGTTATTTCATTGGCACCTAACTGCTTCCTTTACAAAATATATTCTAAAGACAAAAAGCATCACAAGGAAGCCTTAAAATCACACAGGAAGTGGCTGTTGGTATAATCTTGATATGGTACTTTTGAAAAATTTCATCTGCATTGTAAGAGATATGTGTAATGTAAGTCAAAGAGGTAAATATATTAAGTGTATTAGGAAACAAGATTTTTGGTGTAGTAGACAAGAGAGGCAAATATAAAATAAAAGAAGTTAAGAAAAATATCCTAAAATGTTGAAGCTGTATTGGAAATACCAATATAAACTCATGATCCTTAAATATACATATATACATATATATGTATCTCCCAGCTCTGTTGTCAGAATCGACTCGATGGCAGTGGGTTTGGTTTTTGGTTGGTCCACTGAAAGGGCCTGTAAGCAATGACATCCCAGAGGAACAAGCACACCAAGTGCCCAAATTTTGGTTTCTAAGCACCACTCTGCATTGAGGAAACCATGGCACTTCTAGGGCAGGATATTTTCAATCACCTCATATGCATGCAAAAGCTGAACAGTGAATAAGGAAGACCAAAAAAGAACTGATGCCTTTGAATTACGGTGTTGGTGAAGAATATTGAATGTACTATGGACTGCCAGAAGAACGAACAAGTCTGTCTTGGAAGAAATACAGCCAGACTGCTCCTTGGAAGTGAGGATGGTGAGACTTCGTCTTATGTACTTTGGACATGTTATCAGGGGGGACCAATCCCTAGAGAAGGGCATCATGCTTGGTAAAGTAGAGGGTCAGCAAAAATGAGGAAGACCCTCAACGAGATAGACTGACACAGTGGCTGCAACAATGGGCTCAAGCATAACAACGATCATGAGGATGGTGCAGGACCAGGCAGTGTTTCGTTTTGTTGTACACGGGGTCACTATGAGTCAGAACTGACTTGAGGGCACCTAACAACACCACAACATGCACCACTCCCCACTGAGGAAACCAGGGCACTTCGGGGGCAGGGGTAACATGAGGTGAGTCTGGGTGGTCTCAAGTGTCTGAGAGGAAGATCACAAAGGCCTACGGGGTTAGACCAGGAGCAGCTGAAATCTGGGTCTATTTGAGCATTGAAAGAATAATGGCTGCAACACTCTAAAAATACTTAAACACCCATGAGTCCTTGATGGTGATGAAAAAAAAGAGAAAGCTGTTCTTCACAAAAGAATGTCCACCAATAAATGAAGAAGAATGAGGGGACCATAAGATAACCTTGTTTCCACACACCCCTCCCCGCCATGTGGAAAACAATTCAGGCAAGGATCAGCAGGCCATGCTAGCCCACAGGTCGAAGGTACTGGGGACAAGACACCTGTGGGATGCCAGAGCGTGGCACCAGGCTACTCACTCACCACAGAAGGGAAACGTGACTCTGGGGATGCCCAGCAGCCGCACCCTGAACCAGGCCTCACACCGGCCTCCCCAGAGGTGGATGGTCAGCCCACCAGCCACTCCCCGCTGACAGGAAACATAGAGGAGAGCAGCAGGCCAAGGGCTCCCCTAGGAAGCTCCCAGGGAGGTCCAAAGTGTGGGACGACGTTCAAGACAATCGGCCTGGACTCTCCAAAAAGTCAGTGCCATGAGGTAAATGTGGGGACTATTTTGAATTAAGAGATGAAAGTGAGTTGGTAGCAAATGCAAGGTGTGATCCTTGGCTGGGCCTTGCTCCAAAATCCTCAGCCCAAGAAGCACATTTTTGGGACAATTCATGGAAATTGGATGTGGATGGGGTATTGAACGGCATCGTGTGATAGCTGTAATCACCTTAGGGATGATGATGGTATTGAGCATGAGTAGGGGACCATCCTTACTTTTAGAAAATGCCAAAACATGTAGAGGTGAAGGGTCATGTTGTCAAAGTGTCACTTTCAGATGTTTCCACAAATGACACATACGTGTTTATTCTAACAGGGCAGGGGGACTGCCCGTTTTTTATTCTGATGGGGCAGGCGTGGTCAGGCGTGAGCCACTGTTGGAGCTCAGCGTTTACTGTACTGTTCTTTCCACTTTTTTTACATTTGAATTTTTTCATCATCAACACTTTAGAAGTACTGTTTACAATGGGAACAAAAAAATGCAAGGCATCTAGGAAATAAATCTAGCTATATATACCTGAGCTTTCTGAAGAAAATTATGAAATCTTATTGAGAGACTCTAAAGAAGTTCTGTTTAGAACTATGTTCTTACACGGAAAGTCTCAAAGTCACCATGCCTTCAATTCTCCTCAAGGGGACCTATAAATTTAATGCATTCCTGACCAGAATTCCGTTATGAAACACCACGACCTGGTCTAAACTGTGAATGAATGAGAAAGGATGGAGAAAGTCTAAGGTAGCTGTGAAGAGGGAGTACCCGTGCAGGGACCTAGGCACGGCCCGGGGCCGTGGTAAGACAGGGCAGGGAAACAGAGTTCAGGAAGTAGAGCAGCAAGCAGAGGAGGAGTCCCAGAAGCTGACCTGGCCCGCCAGAAACAGGCTGGAGCACAGCTGGCCCCGCAGGTCAGTGGGAGCAGAAGGGATTGGTCAGAGAATGGCGCACAGACAACTGGTTGTCCACATACTGAAAACAAAACAAAACAAAACCGGTTGCCGTCGAGTCGATTCCAACTCACAGCGACCCTACAGGACAGAGCAGACCTGCCCATAGGGTTTCCAAGGAGCGGCTGGTGGATTTGAACTGCAGACCTTTCGGTTAGCAGCCGAGCTCTTAAGCTCTTAACCACTGCGCCAGCAGGGCTCCATTTGACACATCCAAAAACCAAAACCAAACCTGTTGCTGTCGAGTCAATTCCGACTCACAGTGACCCTGATAGGATAGGGTAGAACTGCCCCGTAGGGTTTCTAAGGAGTGGCTGGTAGATTTCAACTGTCGACCTTTCGGTTAGCAGCTAAGCTCTTAATCACTTTGCCACCAGGGCTCTGGTTGTCCACATAGAAAACGTAAAGTAGATCCTACCTCACACTGCATGTTAAGATCAGCTCCACGCAGACAAAAGACCTGTTCTTGCAAAGCCACCTTGAGGCAAGCAGGTGCTGACCTGACCCCAGCCTCTTCCATGACACATCCTAACTTCCTGGGAGGCCCTCATTCAGACATGTGCCACCACCACAGTGGTGCTGTATTTCTAGCCAAAAACACCAGATGCCATGGGGTCAACTCCAACTCACGGCAACCCCATGTGTGCCAGAGTAGAACTAGGCTCCACTGGGTTTTCAATGGCTGATTTTTTGGAAGTAGATCACCAGGCCTTTCTTCCAAGGCACCTCTGGATGGACTGAACGTCCAACCTTTCGGTTAGTAGCCAAGCACTGAACTATTTGCACCACCCAGGGACCCCAGCTTTATGTCTAGAGAGTTTTTAAATAAAACGACATAGTACATACTTTTATGGCTGGTGGGTAATCCTTAAAAATCTCCACGACCCTCATGACGCCAAACGAGAGGTACCCAGACGCTGTGAACAGCAGCGGGGACGTGATGCTGGTTATGGCGAGCAGCACCTCCACCTGGCAGGAAACAGACGAGAGCCGGCAGTAGATGGCGGGCCCGGGTCTCTGGTCGCCGTCTGCACGCAGGGGGCAGCTGCACCTCACGGGCCGTCCGATCACCCCGATCAGGGGGTTGGGGTCACTAGGGGCTGTCATCTTGGGCTTCCTCTGCCTCTGAACTCAAAACACGCTTCATGTGCGCGTCAGGGGGTTCTTGCAATTGATGGACAATTCTCCACCGGGCGGACAGTAGCACTGACAAACAACCACTCCCTTCGGGGGCTCTCACATCTGTCCGAATCTCCTGGAGCTCTTCCCAACCATAAAATGAGGCCCAGGTCTGTCGCAGAAGCTGCGACCGCACAACTCTGACCACACAGGCCAAGTGTCCGGCCCTGAGTCGCAGGGGGCCAGGGACACTCCGTTCTCAGCACCCAGGGCCACGCTCATCACCTGTCGCCGTCAGACAGCGACTGACCTTAAAGGTCTGGCTCCTCCTCCTGGGCCTGACCTCCCTCAGGTTCTTACTCATGGGTTATTCCCACGTGCATGCCAAAGTCCTCGGTTCTCCTTTTCACCAGCAGGGCAGCCAGGGTCAGGCAAGCCCCCAGAATAATCCAATGGTCTTCAGGTCTCCCCCACCCTCACCCCACCTGGCCTGTGACCCCCTTCCTGCGCTGGCCTCCCCAGCCCAACCCGCCCCAGGGCAGAAGCCCCTTTCTGTGGGACCCCAGGCCGGTCAGCAGGGACGGGGAGCTGCACTCACCAGGCGCTTGCTGGGGTACTCAGCTGTCACATGACTGGCAATGGCACTTGGGAAACACTGGGGAAAAATTAAAATTTTAGAGGTGAATTCAAGAAGTTAGACTCTGAAATCCAGCATCACAGGTAAGACGAGGCACCCTCCACCCTCATCTGCACTCCCATCACCCCCAACCTCTCCCCATCATCAGCAGTGGAGCTTCCTACCCACACCTTTTTTTGTATTTGGCATAGATATATACGTAACCATGAACAGTATATGGTATTGGTTAATGTGTTTTAAAATCACATAAAATTATGTAAAACCGTGGGGGGCAGGAGGAAGATGGGAGACAATCGAGAGCAAGACTGAGAGACGAGTGAGAACCGGCCCCCCCTTCCCACGGCTCTTGGTGTACCTCTCAATCCCTGCAGTGACCAGCGGGTCGGCTGCGATGTTTCACCTCGTGAAGCAATGCTGCAAGGAGCGTTCTTGCTCGTATCTCCTTGTGCCAGCGTGCCGTGGTCTCCTAGTGCTGCCACAACAGAACCACCACAAGTGGGTGGCTTTCGAGAACCCACACTTATTTTCTCACAGTTGGGGAGGCTGCGAGTCTGAATTCACACATGGCTCCGGGGGAGGTCCTTCTTTGTCTGTTTCAGCTTCTTGTAGCCAGCAATCCTTGATGCTCCTGGCCCTGTAGACCGTCCGTCGTCTGTCTTCCTCGTCCCCCTGAGCATGTGTCTCTGTCTATTCTGCTCTTTTCATAACTCAGAGGGGATTAGGGTTAGGACCAATCCTACCCTGGTATGACCTCATCAACGTAACAAAAGAAAGCCCCTATTTCCAAACAGGGTCATATTCACAGGTACAAGGGCTAACACTTCAATCCATGTTTGCGGGGGGGCACAATTCAATCCATAATAAAGTGCATAAGCGTTTCTTTGGGGTGTCACCCGAGTCAGACCACTGTGGGTAGAGCATCTGCATCGCTATTTTCATACCCGTGGCCGTCAGATCTATTCCAACTCAATAGCGACCCTATAGGACAGAGTAGAACTGCCCCATAGGGTTTCCAAGGAGTGGCCGCTGGATTGGAACTGCCGACCTTTCAGTGAGCGGCCGAGCTCTTAACCACTGCACCACCAGGACCCTTCTGTTTTCATGTTGTTGTTGTTAGGTGCTGTCGAGTCGGTTCTGACTCACAGCGACCCTTGAACAACAGAACGAAACACTGCCTGGTCCTGCGCCATCCTCACAATCGTTGTGCTTGAGCCCATTGTTGCAGCCACTGTGTCAATCCATCTCGTTGAGGATCTTCCTCTTTTTCACTGACCCTCTGCTTTACCAAGCATGATGTCCTCTCCAGGGACTGATCTGTCTTCATAGACCCTGACAGATGATTGGTCCAACTAGTCATCCCACCAGCATCCTTTCCATTCACATCCTCACCAACACTTTGTACAGTCAGGAATTTTTCTGTTGCCCGCTGATGAACTTGTACCTGATTAGATGGCATTTCCCTGAGCACTGGTAAGTTTCAAGTCTTCTCCTTGTTCAATGGCGGCTGATTTTCCTCTTCTGTTCATGCCCTTTTCTCACTTTTCTGGCTAGGTTGGCTTTATCTTATTGACTTGGTGTTCTTTATTCTGGATACTAATCCTTTGTCTGTTCTATGGGTTGCAAAGATCTCTCAGTTTGTCAGTTCGCTTAAACCTTCGTTTCTGACACCTTTTCAATACAGTGGTTTTTTTTTTTTTTTTTTTTTGGCTTTAACAAAGAGAAATTTATTTCCTTACAGTAAAGTAGGCTAAAAGTCCAAACTCAGGGCGTCAGCTCCAGAGGAAGGCTTTTTCTCTCTGTCGGCCTTCTTCTCTTTGGTGTTCTCCTGGACTAGGAGCTTCTCTGCACAGGGACCCCAGTCCAAAGGATGCGCTCTGCTCCCGGCACTGCTTTCTCGATGGTATGAGGTCCCTGTGTCTCACTGCTCACTTCTGTCTTTTATATCTCGAGAGATTGCCTCAGGACACAATCCAGTCTTGTAGATCAGGTCCTGCCTTACTAACACAACTGCCACCCATCCTCCCTCATTAACATCATAGAGGCAGGTTTACAACACACAGGAAAATCACACAGTACCAGGAATCATGGCCCAGCCAAATTGATACACACATTTTTGGGGGGACATAATTCAAACCATGACATTCCACCCTTTGGCCCCCAAAAAATCACATCCTTGCAACATGGAAAACATATTCGCCCCATCATATCATAGCAAAAGTCTTAACTCCAAGTCCAAAATCCAAAAATTCCTCTTCCTCTGTGAAGTCCAGAATACAAGTTATTTGCTTCCAAAGGTACAATGGCAGAACAAGCACAAGCTAGACATTTCCATTACAAATGGGAGAAATTGCAGGGAAAGAAGGCATAACAGGTACCAAGCAAGTTAGCAGAACACATTACATTAGCCGTCAAGGCTTTGAAAATAATCCTCCATTCTCTGAGACAATTTACACAATAGCCCTGCCCTCCAGACTCTAGGTGTTGGCCACAGTCTCTGGATTTTGAGTGGAGGCCCCTCAGCCCTGGGCTTCAGCTCCACCTTCCAGGCCCACTGGGACAGCAACTCCGCTCCCTTGGCTTCAGGCGCACCATTCTCCTAGTCCATCTGAGTGGTGACTCCACCCTTAGAAGCTCCAGACGCCACTGCTCCACCCTTTGAAACCCCTCTGGTCATGGCCATACCTTTTGAGACTGAGGCAGCTCGGCTTCTTGTGTCCCTTGTCTCTTCGGCTTCTGCTTCCTGTGGCCTCTCGGCCCTCAGGCCTCATGCCCACATCTGCCCTGCTGGGGCAAGTGTTCCAAAGCTCTGTAGCTCCACTGGTATAAGTGCCCGGAGACACCCCACTCCGCCAGGAAGCCTCGTGCACACAGACACTCAGCTCTCTCGTTCCGTGGGTCGGCAAGCCTACTTCCACCTATAAGTGCCCAGAGACACCCCACTCTGCCAGGAAGCCTCCTGCTCACAAGCACTCAGCTCTCTCGCTCCGTGGGTCAGCTCCAGCGCCATCTCGCACTGGTCTCCTGGTTCTGCTGCTGTTGGTTCTCTGCCTCTGCCGCTTCTCTGCTGCTGTAGGTCCTCTGCTGCTGCCAGTCCTCTCTCACTGCTGCACATCTATCCATTCACAGTTTTAAAAGTGCTTCCACATTTTAGGTATCTGTTAGAGCAGCACCCCACTCTCTCGGTACCAAATTCTGTCTTAGTTATCTAGTGCTCCTAGAACAGAAATACCACAAGTGGATGGCTTTAACAAAGAGAAATTTATTTCCTTACAGTAAAGTAGGCTAAAAGTCCAAATTCAGGGCGTCACCTCCAGGGGAAGGCTTTTTCTCTCCATCGGCCTTCTTCTCTTCGGTGTTCCCCTGGACTAGGAGCTTCTCGGCACAGGGACCCCGGTCCAAAGGACGTGCTCTGCTCCCAGCACTGCTTTCTCAATGGTATGAGGTCCCCTCAATACAGTTTTTAATTTTTATGTAGTAAAATGTGTCAGTCTTCTTCTCCACATTTTGAGATTTTCAGTCTTGTTTAAGAAAGACATGAAGCTAATCTTTTCTTTCACAGTTAGGTCTTTGATCCATCTGGAATTCAGTTTTGTGTATGGTGTGAGATAGGGATCAAATCTTATTTTGTGCCACAGGGAGAGCTTTTGTGGCTCACAATTCCCTCCCTAGCCCTCATCACGGTTGTACTTGACCGGGCTGTGAGCTCTGGGGGAACCAGGCATTGTCCACCTTGATCGCCTGTGTCCTCAGTTCTGGGTGCTGCATGAGGCTGCATGAACGTGTGCTCCTCTGGGCAACTGCAGGGAGACTGTGAAGATTCGAGAAAGTCAGAAGATGCATGCTGTCTCAGGTCACCGCCCTGAGCACTCGCTGTGAGCTCGTCCATCCTGACAGCGGCTGCCTGCCAACTTGTGCCAGACCCACCACCAACTGAAGTGCATGGAGCCACCTCCTCTACAGGTGTGAGACCAAGAGCGAGTCCTCGCAGAGAAACTTCAGTGGAAAGAAAACAACAAGGGACCAGAGTGGATTTCCCCCAAAATTCTTTCTTCAGTCAGTCAAGGACACTGGATTACAAGTGCAAAGAAGAGTGTAATAAATACCCGTCCACCCTTCACCCAAAATCACAGTTGTTAACATTTCACCACATCTGCACACTCCTCTTCCACCCTCACTCTCTCTCAGGGCTCATGACACCTTAAACACTTCGGCATATGTCTTCTAAGAACAAGACATTCTCCTGCACAGCCACAATCCAGCATATCTCGAGAAATTTGACATTGAGTCCACAGCGTTGTCTAACGTAGAGTCCACATCCAAATCCACCCCGTGTCCCAATCACATTCTTTTATAGGTGCTCCACCTGCCACATCCAAATCCACCCCGTGTCCCAATCACATTCTTTTACAGGTGCTCCACCAGCCACATCCAAATCCACCCCGTGCCCCAATCACATTCTTTTATAGGTGCTCCACCAGCCACATCCAAATCCACCCCGTGTCCCAATCACATTCTTTTACAGGTGCTCCACCAGCAAGCTCGAGCCGAGTTTCCTTGTCATGTGTGTCAGTCTCTACTCAGAGCAGCTCCTCCACCTTCTGGTGCCTCCGTGACACGGCCACGTTTGAAGAGCACAGGCCAGTGCTGTTGCAGATCACCTCTCCACGTGGGTCAGTCTGCTGCTTCTTCAGGGTCAGACGCAGGAAAATGACAGATGGGACGCTGTGTCCTTCCAGCATGGTGCCAGTGTGCTAACTGGGACTCCCGGGTTGAGGTGGTGTCTGCCAGTCCTCCGCCATTTGGGTTCCTTCTCCTTGGTGACCAATACATGATGGAGGTGTCACTCTGAGACCCTGTGAATGTTCTGTCCCCAGTGCTCGCCCTTGCCTTGTACATTTTCTGGCTGGCCTTCTCCTGTAAAGAGCTCCCACCTGCACCCCAGCCCCTTCTTCCTGTTTTTTCTTTGCTTCCTTGTTTGCGTCTTGTTTTAAGGAACTTGACCTAATTCCACATGATGCAGGCAGGGGAACTGCGACAGGAGGAGGAGATTGCTGAGGCCCGGGTCTGCCCTCCTGCCACCCTCCTGGGTTCCCCCTCCCTGGCCTCCAGGCACCCAGCCCCTCCTCCCACTGCCCAAGCCTAGCAAGGCCAGGTGAGTCCATGCTCCAAGCACTTTGAAGCTCTAAAGTTGTCCTCCACCTGCCTGCAAAGGAAAAGGAGGCCACTGGGCAGGGGTGTCAGCCCCTAGATGGTGGACCCCCCGCAGGGTGTGAGTATCCCCAGACCCTTGGACATGCAAGCAAGGTGTCGGCATTTGTTAGGGGCTCTGGTGGTGGGTGAGCAGGACAGGAAGAAGTGACAGCCTGGACAATGGGGGGTGGGCTCAAGATGGGGCAGCTTGTGCAAAGGCCCAGTGGTAGGAGAAACGAGGACAGACCATAATTTAACATAGTGTTTGTAAGCCTGGTGGTGGACATGGTGCCATGTAATGTGGTGGCTGCTGTTTGGGAGCACAGACCCAAAGGTGGATGATGGCATGGGGTGTGGCACGTGACGTGTGGAAATGCCACGTGGAGTGTCTGCAAACTGACCATGCTGAGACAGCAGGAGCCTAAGCCCAGGGAAGACACATCTCCCAACAGAAAGACTTGGGGCCAACAGCTCTGAGGGAGACTCGGCTAAGTTTGACAACATGACGTTACTTAAGTAAATTTAGGGTGACTACACAGTGATGATAGCCGCCCACATCCCGGGAGCAAGTTTAAAATCGTGGCCACTGATTAAGCATTAAGCACCTACCATGTGGTAGGTGTTGTGTTAAGCATTCACTGTGAGTATTTAGCTGTCTTAGCTACCTAGTGGCAGCTAAACAAAAAGTACCACCAGTAAGCGGCTTTAAAAGAACGGGAATTTAGTGTCTCAGTTACGGAGGCCAGGACTCTGAACTCAGGGTGTTGGCAGGGCTAGACTCTCTCTCTGTCGGTGCAGCTCAAGGGAAAGATGCTTTCTCTTTCAGCTCCTAGTAGCTGCTGGCAATCCTTGGTGCTCCTGGGCTTGTGGATTCCTCTGCCTCGTTTCATGGGGCATCCACCCCACCACCACCCCACCATGCCCTGTGTGTGCCTGCCTGTTTATAACTCAGAAGGGATTAGCCTCAGGTCCCACCCTGCTGTGGTGTGACTTCATTAACATGACAAAAGAAAACCCTATTTCCAAACAGGGTCACGTTCTTAAGTACAGGGGTTAGGATTTCCACATGACTTTTGGGGAGACACAATGACATAACTCTTTTGGGGGGACTTTGACTCATTTCCTCCTCAATTCCCAAATCCTCCCCCACCCCACCTCCGGCAGCTGCTCCATCCTCCTGGCGCTCACTTTCTGCCCACGCCTCGGAAACTGAGCTCAAAACCCAGCCTCGCCTCGGAAACTGAGCTCAAAACCCAGCCTCGGTGGGTGTGATGCGCCTGGAGCCAGGCAGATGAATGCGGCTGCGCCAGGGCCAGCCAGCACGGTATACTCACAGCCACTAAAATCCAGAAGAAGGTCACGGAGAGGTGGGGACCCAAGACCTTGTCGTCCACGTTCAGAGCGATGATTCCACCCAGGACGGCCGAGATGCCGGCAATGACCTCAATGACCTGGAGGGAGGGGTACAACAAGGGGGGTCACTGCACTGGGGTCAGCCACACTGGGGTCCACGCCCCCAGCTGTAGTACCTGTGTACCGCCGGATGCCACCTGTCCTCAGGTCCCTCAAGGGACCCGGAGGAGCCTGCCTGGTCTCACCTTACAGAGCGGGGACGGGGCTCCTCCAGATTCACCCCCGAATCCTTGTATGCAGACTTGGCCAGGCTCCCTCCCCCAAGCCAGTCATGTGGGGCGGGCAACTCTTTGTTTCTGGAGTTGTCTCCAAACATCCCAGACCCCCAGGTCCCCAGACCCAAACCCCCAGGGCCCAAGGCCCCCAAACCCCTGTATTCCCAGTCCGCCAGGCCCCCAAGCCCCCACATTTCCAGTCCCTCAGACCCCTAAGCCTCAGGACCTCAGGCCCCCTGGTTCCCAGGCATTCAGTCTCCCCGGCTCCTTGGTTCCCCAGTTCCCGGGCCTCCAGGCCCCCAGGTGAGGGTCTCTCCTGAGCCCCCACCCCATGCGGGATATGCTGCATCTGGCCGCACTGACCGCCATGGCACCCACCTGGACGGGCTCTGTGCTGAGCCCCCAGTACGTGGCGGCCAGGAGGGACTCGGATGGAGGGAGGAGCTCCCCTTCACGCCCACCCTAACCCCAAACACCCCCAGCTCTGGCTCATAACAGGGTCCTAAACCATTGCTTTCCTTTCTGTCCTTCCTGTTTCTCTAGCACGTGTTCTCTGAGTATCGCTTGTGTCCAGGGGCTCGCTAGGTGCTGGGGAAACAGGAACCCGGGCGCCACCGCTCCGTCCTCATGGGGCTCGCAGGGGACACAGCACGCACACAGGACAGGGAGGGTTTGAGAGGGACACAGGCACACAAGAAGACTCAACATGTGAGAAGCACAACCACTGAGACCCAACAGCCACACAGCCCAGTGGAGGGAGAGCTGGACGCAGACCTGAAGATGGGGCCGTCTGAGAAGTCACAGAGAGCACTGGGCAGGGATGGGGGTGGGGGAGGTCAGGG